ATTTTTTTTTTTTTTTTTTTTAAAGCTACATCATCTGGATTCCTCTTCACTAAAAGATTTTTTTGTTCAAAAATGAAGATTGTATTGGTTAAAATAGACTCTTTTTGCATTATGAATACTTTTTGTTCAATTTGAATGTTTATAAAACAGACTCTAGCTAGTAATCTCAGTCCCCACCTACAGCACCCCTTGCTGTTTTGAGGTCTGGGTTTCCCGCATAGCTGTACCACTACAGCTCACTCTTGACTTGCAGTAACCTCTGCTATTTTGGGGTGTGTCTAGATGAGAAAGTAGGTTTTGTTTTAAAACAGCTGTGCCACTGCACCTCAGTCTAGACCTGTAACAGTCACTGTAATTCTAACCTGGGCCTATCCAGAGCAAAAGGCTACTGAACATTACAGAAATGTGCAATACAGACAAGCACTAGTAGTAGCTAGACTTCGACTGCAAAATTCACTTCATTGATGATGTATGGTTGATAAGAACCTAAGTTTCTAGAGGTGAAGGGTTGCTGCTGAATTTCATCCCTATATTCATTTCACTCAAATGGCTGGAGAAAATGTTCACTGTATTTCTGTTGTTGATTGAACAGAAGATAACCAGGTTCTGTAGGTTGTGATTAAAAATGGTGACAGATAGCTCAGAAGTTAAGTAGTTAAAGTTTAGGAGTGGGACTCAGGACACACATGGGTTCTATTTCTTGTTGTGACCCAGACTTGCTATGTGATCTTGGGTGGGTGAGTTTGTTAATTTCTGGGCCCCCGTTTCCCCATCTATGAAATAGGGCTGCTGATACTTATTCACCAGACAGGGGTGCGTTAACCTTATTGAAGCCTTAATGAATTAACCCTGTTGAAGTCCTTTGAAGTCATCAGAAGTTGTGAAAGGACAAAACATCATTATTATTATTAATGTGTATAATTTATATCTGCCTGAGTACCTGTTTCCTTTGATTAGAAACCAGTGATCTGTTGGGGAGAGGGAACACTGCAACTCAGTTGCTTTCACTGCTTTGTCTGAAAATTCCAGCCTTTTTGTCTCCAATGATCACTGGCAGGTTAGCAAGCAGCTTCCGAAGAGTACGAGAAGCTTGTCAACCCTGAAAAGGCAGCAGAAGACACAAAACCTGTGAAGATTAAGGAGGAGCCAGTCAGCGATATCACCTTTCCCATAAGTGAGGAGCTGGAGGGAGATCTGGCATCTGGTGACCAGTCTTTGCCTGTGGGAGTCCTTGGAGCTCAGAGTGAGCGTTTTTCTGCCAATCTGGAAGTAGAGGCGTCCCCCCAGGCTACAGGTAAGGGGCAGCCTTCTGCTGTAAACTCCCTCAGCTTTTCCAAATGGCCTCATGTATTTTACTTTAGCAAAGCTACAGCTGATGGGGGGTTGGTTTTGGTCACGTGGGAGGAAGGTTCTGTTTTAAATTAAAAAGCAGCAGTGAAGTTTATTTAAAACCTTGCACAAATACAAGACACAAAACAGGGAGCAAAATGTAATGTAGTCAATGAAGTGCTAGAGACTTACCCCATACAAATAGATTGGCGTATTCGGCAGTAATACTGCAAGATGCAGAGTTTGCACTAATGTTACTCTAATGATAGCAGCCATTGTGTTAGCATAAAAAGTATACAGTAGAAAATATTCTACAGCAATGGCTGCAGTCACTGGAAGCATTAAGCCCTTATGATGTTCCATTCTACAGTAATGGTTCAAGCACTGCAGCTTACAATAATATTACTCAAGTGTTTGCTGCTACTAGCATAGAATTATGGTCATATATGTTTGAATAAGGGTAACCTTCTGCCAATCCAGTATAACAAAGGGAAAAGACTTTTGAACACTTGTAAAATGTGTATAAGAGGAGGGCCAACAGACTTTCCTTTTGCATATGAAGCAACAACACACAAAAAAGCTGCTTTTTATTCTGATTCCTAATGAATAAACAGTTACAAAAAGAATCCAGTTGATTTTCTGTTTTTGAGGTGGTGCCAGGAGTTTACCACTTCCTGAAATGATCAGCACAGAAATAGTTTCACTTGCGATGAGGAGCTTGTCTGAGGATGCCTGTTGCTGGATTAGTTTGGGCTTGTTTAGTTCTGCCAGCTGGCTGCTGGGGGACTGTCTAGTTTGTTAGTTTTCTGTGAAGGTTTACAGTGCTGAACACACTAGCATGACTCAAGGCCAGAACTTTCATGTAATCGAAAAATTGTGGTTCACATTCTTTGACCTGGGTATAAGAGCAAGAACCAAATAACGAGGGAAGGGGGAACTGGTTGATGGGACTTAGAGCTCACCTCCAGGATTGAATTTGGCCCAAGCTGGTAGTGATTGATTGTCATCACCTTCTGATTGCTATTTGATCAATTATGTGAAATGGGCTGGCAGCTCTCCGTCCCATTCTAGTAGAATCACAAAACCACCACTAAATTAGCAGCTTCAGCAAGGACTGATTGGGCCATGGAGACTGAACTCCCCTCTTGCTCCTAGAAGTCATCACTCCAGGTCAGAATTGAGGCATGTTGGTTGATGGGGTGGGAGAATCTTGTACCACTACCGCCTGTGTTTGTACCTGTTCTGTATCTACATACAAGTTTCAGTCTCTATGGCTATCAAGTCAGCACCATGCACTGACTCTGAGTTCTCTGGAAAATTATGAAGAACTCCCACATTCAAAGAATGTGTGTTTTGATTCGTATATACAACCACCTGAACTCAGCCATTCCCCGCAGAAATAAGTGTTTCACTCAGAAACCCAGTTAAAAGTGATGAGGTCTCTTCTATTAACCTTAATCCAAGTTACATGTGCACTGAGGGGAGACTAGATGTCAGAGTCTACTAGTTGTTTAAAGAATAACACACTGTTGAGTTTTAAAAAACACAAATCGCTCAGATGTTTTGCTGGGAGCTTGTATTGTTTTCTGCAGTGCCTCTGAAATGTGAAGTACTCTTATTTTGTGTGGGAGGGAATGGTGAACTACTCCTGGGCCATAAGGGATTATGACTGATTCATCCGAAAAGCTTGCTATTAGCATCTACCACTTGAGAGACCCAGAGGATAACATACTAGCTGTATATTAAATGCCCTGTGCGCCTCTGATATCAGACTGATGTTTTCTAATTATGAATAGACGTGTTCTGTTCCTCTCTGAAGATCCCTGTTCACACAAGGGCCTGTGTGTGCTGGAAACCACATCTCTCTCTAAAGGAATCCCACTGTGGAGCTGGGCAATGTTGAGTGCATAACATCAGATGGAGGGAGAGGAAGCTACTTGAATTAGAATATGGGCATCTTCAAAATGGGAATTAGCCTATTAGGGAGACAGCAATGTCCAGTGGTTTGAGCACAAAACTAGGAGCCAGGGGCTCCTGAGTTCTAATCCTGCTTCTGAGTATGTCCTGTGTTGTGGTCATGGGCAAATCACTTCATCTCTTTGCAGATGGGGGAACTTAGACAAACATTGGGATACTATTTCGTTGTCATGTCATGAGAGTGTTGTGAGGATTAATACGTTAATTTGTTACGTGCTTTGATGTTAAAGTGCTCTGAATGAAATAATGAAATGTCCTGTGTAAACGTTAAGTAGTTTTACTCACTGGTGAAAACACTCCATGACAAAGGGAGCTAAAGGGAATAGGCCTTAATGGTGAAGAGAAATTGGTGAAAGAAGGAAACCCTCCAATTATTGTTTAGACTGGGACTGTAGCCTTAAGCCTGATAGCATGTTAATGATGTATCCTCATGGTTGAGAAGAGGATAGATTCACTTGTAATGAACATAATGGGGATTTTTAGTGAGGCTTCTGGACACCAATAGGCCCTGTAGTTCTTCCTGGCTGTCTAGCTCCTAGACCAAAACAGCCTGTGCTGCCTGCTGCCCACCACATAGGGTCTCCCTAAGCCCTGGTTTGGGCTAAGCAGTTGTGGAAGGTTTACAATGCAAACACCGTTGTGATGTTAATGGAAAGATTCTCTTTGTATAATTACTAGTAACAGGGGAAGTACAAAATGTTTGGCTCAGCACCCAGAAGCTTAGATGCTTATTCAAACTTGAGGTAAGCCTCTTGAGTCTGCAGACTAGGTTTGGAAATCTCCCAGGCTGGCTTCTTAGTTTGTATCTGCATTTTATTTTTCATGTGAATTTAACCCTGATCTCCAGGGATCAAATTTCAGGTGTGAGAGAAGATTTCCGTCTCCCTTCAGTTCTTCGTTGTTATGCTAAGACTCTCAACAAGGGGCCCAATTAGTAACAGTTGTGGTAGTGGGTTTTTTCTTTCAAAATAAATTTGCAGAAATAACAAAATCTATAATTATCCCTCTTAAGGACAAAATTAAAACAAAACAAAATCCACCCATCACTGTGTTTGGAAAAAACAACAACAACAACTTGGATATAATCTTACACAAAAGGCACATCGATCCTAGGATAGAAATAAAATAACTAACTTCTTGATAGTGTTGGGCTTTGTGATGTGGACATTTAGCCACTATGAACTGAACTAAGAACCACCCAGTTCCTTTCATATGGGCCACTGAACAGATATCAGATGACTGATGGCTTAATCACTATTTACCTGAATAGGGTTTAAACCAAGTGACCAAGAAGTGAAAGGTTCCATATCTCATGGCCAATCTTCTGAGCCTCTGAGAAGAGACTTGCTTGTAATCTGATGCTTTTTTGCTTCTGGTCAAGTCAGGGATGTGGTGTGAATGGTCCTCTTCTTGATTTCAGACAGGACCAGAAGAGCTGGCATAAAAATGAAAAATGGGCAAAGGTTTGGTGGTCCACTATCCCAGTTTTCATTGACCTCCTAAAGGAGTTCTTGGTTTAAGTTTTGGGAAGAAATTATTACTTTTTTTTTTTTTTTGTGCATTGTGATAGCACCCAAGAATCCCAAATAGACTCCGGACCCCATTGTGCTAGGTGCTATACAAACACTTAGGACATCACAGTCCCTAACCTGAAGCACTCAGTGTAACTGAAGAGAAGATGCAAGAAATGAGTGTAACAAACAATAAGAGGGAAGGGTGGGAGAGAAGATGAAGGTGACTTTAAGAACATCACACAGTGGCATGGGTGAACAATGTGCATAACCAATAATAATGAAGAAGGTTTATAACTTTTTTTTTATCCAATCACTTTTAAAATTCCTTATGAACTTCTGGGCTCCTTAACAACTGCCCTTCCTCCTCCCTGAAAATATGACCTAGGTTTTGCTGCCTAGTTTGTTGTTTTTTTTCTTTCTATACAGACTATCCCCAGTTGGCACCTACCAGGAATTATCAGTTCCTTTAAAATAAATACAAACTATACCCACAGCCCCCTCAAACAGTGCCTCCCACCATAGAGCACCTGCTGGGAAGCCACTGTGGTGGTGAGGATTTCTCTGCGCCCTGTGGAGAGAAGGGATGGGTCCCTGCAAGTGTCAAGTACTGGAGGGCAGGAAGTCCAGTGATCACTTGTGGAGCTCTGATGTCCCTCCGTTCTGAGACTGTCAGGCTACTATCTGGGAAAAAAGCATCTTAACTGGGAAGTAAGAACTCAGCAGCATCAGCTAGTGCCAAGAGCATCACAGGTTTAGCCAAGATGTCCTGGTCCTGCATGGAGCTAGGACTTGGGGGGCACAGCAGTATCTCCATAGGGTGCTGCCTTTACGGCCTCAGGGAGTCACTGAGGAGAGGATTCCCCCATTTCCCATCTCTTCACAGAACAGGTTGGACCAGAACACTATAGGGCCTACAGAGGCCATAAAGGCATCACCCCATGGTGATACTGCAGTGTCCTCCAAGTTCGGACTCCATGCAGGGCCTGGGCATCTTGGCCTGACCCCTGTGCTCTTGGCACTAGCTGATGCTATTGACTTCTTGGAGGATGCCTGGCCCTTCTAAAACTGACTCATTCTCTTGGGAAATTCCGCAGAGGGCTGCAGTGAAAAGAGGCGAGGGGCAGTGCGGGCTTAGTCAGCCCCTGCCGTAGGAGGGAGGTGATCAAAGGAAATACTGCTTTTATATGCTTTGTCTTTTTGTTTCACAGCTGTTCTGTCTCCAACCTTGTGAGCCCAGCCGTAGGGGTTAGCCTGCTCTTGTTCTTTCTCCACTGATCCTGCTGTTCTTTGCACCTGTACATCTGTTCCCATGCACTCTTTACTTGGTGCTTAATGAGTACTCTTTCTCTCTCCAGGTGCCGAGGTCAATGCTTCCCCTCTCTGGAACTTGGCTCAAGTGAAAATGGAGCCTCAGGAAAGTGAGGAGGGCAATGTTCATGGGCACGGGGTCCTAGGCAGCGATGTCTTCGAGGAGCCCATGTCGGGCATGAGCGAAGCTGGGATGCCGCAGAGCCCCAATGGATCTGAGAGCAGTTATGGTTCTCATTCTCCTGACAGCCTGATGGGCTCCTCGCCTGTCTTCAACCAACGCTGCAAGAAGAAGATGAAGAAGATGTGAAAGGGAAGAGGACTTTTTTTCTTTCGAATCCTGCTAATGTGTGACAGTGACTTGAAATGAGCCAATAGGGCCCTTGGTACCTCGGGGACTATAATAACCAGTGCTGGCCCTGGGTTTTGGGGAACAGTCTGTGAAATTATCATGTGAGGTTCGATCTGCAGTGCACATCAACCCACCCATCTTCATTCTGCCCATGACTCCTCTTCCCATTAGGCTCTGCTTTGCATCCCCATCCACGAGATTGCAGGAGAACTCAAAATGGGAACCATCCCCATCCTACAAACGTGGCAGTGTCACCAGATCTCTGGCGGGATTGGAGTGCGGGAGAGAATGCAGGCTAGTAGTCTTGTTGACAGTGGCTGTTTATACTCACTGAGCCAGGGGAGTCTTGACAGTGAGCTTCTCAAAGTGGAACCAGAAGCAATTAGCCTTACCTAACGCTGGCCCTGGTAATAAATGGTTTCCTTTATTTTGTTGGATTGTATGTGGCAATTTCAACCCAACTGAGTTGCCCTGTTTGAAGCTGCTATCTTGACATTTGAAATAGCTTCTGTTTTGGTTCCTGTTTTCTTTTAATGGTGCAGCTGATTGATAGCAATAATTATTTTTGTTCTGTGGATCCACAGCTAATGTTCAACTCAGAGCTTTTAATTTGATTCATTTGAGTGTCTCTCTTAACAAAAGCTGGAATGATCATGAGTCAAGTAGGAACACTGGCTTAAACCGGCTCTATACCTATAACCCATTGGAAGGTTCAAGGGAGGTTTACTGAGCCTCATATTTGTCCTTACAATTGCACATTAATCTTCTGAAAGAACAAGCTCCAGGCACAGTGTTTTTGTTTGTTCATATAACATTCATGGCCCTAATTCTCTTTCTTGATTGTATTTCATGTTCATTGTACAGAAATAGAAGCCAAACAAATAAAACTCTCCTGTGTTTCTAATAAGACTCAGTGGCCATAGAGTTTCATGGACATCAGTGTTAAAAACTGTTGTCTCAATGTTAAAGGTACTGTCTAGTGGTTAAAGAACTATCCAAATATTTAAAGCATGGTTGGTTAAACAGAGAATTTGGGAAATGGGAAATCTTTGTTCTGTTCCCACCTCTGTCAGTGACTCCTCTAACCTAGGGAAGATGCAACCCCCCCTGATTTTGTTTCCCCACTTGTAAAAAGGGAAAAGTAATGTGATGGGTTTGGTCACAGAGACCTCCTTGGGACTGTCACCTGATGTGCTGAAATTACCTCTGAGCTCGTTTCCCCTGCCAGCTTGGGACTTCCAGAACCCTGTCTTGTTGAGCCAGACACACTAGCCTGCTGCAACACAGATCCAGGGTCTGGTCCATGCTCCCAAAATTGCAGACTTAACTGAAAACATCTCAGCAAGTTACCTGTCTCCAGCACCCAGCTCCCAATGGGATCCAAACCCCAAATAAATACGCTTTACTCTGTATAAAGCTTATACAGGGTAAACTCATGAATTGTCTGCCTTTTATAACACTGATAGAGAGAAATGCACAGCTGTTTGCTCCCCCAGGTATTAATCACTTACTTTGTTCTGTTTTTACTTGAAACCACTTAAATCCTACTTTTTATACTTAATAAAATCACTTTTGTTTATTAATAAACAGAGTAAGTCATAAAGCAAAATAAAACAAAACGTGCAAGTCTAAGCCTAATACATTAAGAAACTGATTACAGGTAACATCTCCCCCTCAGAGATGTTCCAATAAGCTTCTTTCACAGACTAAACTCCTTCCTAGTCTGGGCCCAATCCTTTCCCCTGGTAGAGTTCTTGTTAGTTCGAGCAGACATCTCAGTTGGTAAGCAGAGTCTTTCTCATGACTGGCAGCTTTCTTAATCCTGTTCCACCCCCTTTTATAGCTTTGGTACAAGGCAGGAATCTTTTCTCTCTCTGGGTCCCCACCCCTCCTTCTAAATGGAAAAGTACCAGTTTTAAGATGGATTCCAGTATAGGTGACATGGTCACATGTCACTGTAAGACCCCTAGTCTCAATTTTTCTTGGGTTGGCCCACAGGTACACTGGAAGGCTTGCAGGTAAATAAACCATTTACAACCAATTGTTCTAGTCAGTGGGAGCCATCAAGATTCTAAACCACCATTAATGGCCCACACTTTGCATAATTACAATAGGACCTCAGAGTTATACTTCATATTTCTAGCTTCAGATACAAGAATGATACATGCATACAAATAGGAGGAATGTATTCAGTAGGTTATAACCTTTGTTATGATACCTTACAAGAGACCTTTTGCGTAAAGCATATCCCAGTTACATCATTCATAAGCATATTTCCATAAACAATATGGAGTGCACAAGTAATCACAAGTAATACCTGCCTTCCAGTGGTGGTGAGGCTTAATTAATATCCATAGAGCACGTCGAGATACTCTGGTGAAACGTATTATGGGAACTATTATAACTGGGTGGGATTGTTGCTGGATGGAATGGGGAAGGAAAGTCCCGGCCACTGAATGTTTTCAGGACTTTTAATTGGCTAAGGATGAAAGAATAGTGTATCTGCCACTCTCTGGAGCTTTAGAAGAATCTCTTAAACCTCAGTCATAAGTGCTTTTTTTAGATTGCCCAAGTACACTTACTTCTCTCATTTTAAATCATGTTTTTGTATTTTGCTTCCCTTCCACACCCATTTCCCCCATAATACACACTTTGTAACAAGTCAGGCCTGCATGCTTCAAATGTATATTTAAATACAGTGGAAATTCACCCTGTGTTGGTTCTGCAGTGGCAGAGATGTGCTATTGATTCTCTTTTTTGAGGGTTGTTTATGCAGAGATTAGAAATGCACCAGCGTACTTTGTATATTTTAAAATGATGGCAAAGTATATTCATAGAATATCAGGGTTGGAAGGGACCTCAGGAGGTCATCTAGTCTAACCCCCTGCTCAAAGCAGGACCAATCCCCAGACAGATTTTTGCCCCAGATCCCTAAATGGCCCTCTCAAGGATTGAACTCTCAATCCTGGGTTTAGCAGGCCAGTCCTCAAACCACTGAGCTATTAAAATCTTTATCTTCTCCCTCCCCCCCTTATACTAAGTGTCGCTTCTGGCATTTGTCTGCTTGGTGCTTCTTTCTCTTTTACAGATGGAAACTTTAAATTCTGGGCAAGTAATTCCCCTGGAACAGTCCATAGATTTACAAAGACATTTATCATGCACAAAATAGTGACATTTCAAGCCTCACTTTGTCCATATTATGATTTGCCATGTGCTCTTTTGAGGAATCAAACAAGATTTCACTATGCATGAATGCATGCTGGGGCTCATAGCAGCTAGTGCTGTGTCTGAGGAGTCCATAGCCCCATGGGTATAGTGAGATTATGGTAGGAGTTAGAATTGGTGCATTAACAACTTGATCATGAAAAGGAGCTCTCCCACTGTTTATTTTTGTTGATTCTTGGGAAAGGGCTGTGCTGAATTAACCTTTTCAGAATCCTCCAGTTTCACTGGCTGCCTGTTCTTCCTCGCTTCTGTTTTTGGCTGCGAGCGATAGTGTGGATGGCCAGTCAAAGTGCAGAATATTGACAAAGCTCTGGTCTCGGCAGGGATCTGCCTTGCTGTCTAAGTCAATAGTGAATATTGCTATTGACTGGGCGAGCCTGCTCCATACTATAGTTGTAGGGTGTTTTGATTAGGGATGGAGGAAGGGCAGTTCAGATCGGGTCCCTCTCTCTCTCTCTATAAATATATATATATAATGCATGCTGAGGTCTCAAATCTTTTCTCTCTTGAAAGCTCTCCCTATCCTCTCATCTGGATACCAATGTCAGACGAGGGTTTGCCTGAGGCAATATAAGGTTCCCTGCAAACACCTACACAGGAGCCTTTGTATGCAGCTCAGAATCCCGCTGTAGCTTGAACCGTAACTTCAAGACCAGCCTTGCTGCCTTAGATGTGCCTGATGCTTTACAGAAAGATCAAGATTTCCCCACCTGGAAGAACTTAAAAGTTGCAAAGAGAATGGGTATCAAAACAGAGGGAGGAGGGACAAATCTGATTAGAGGCTCACTGCTGAGGCTAAGGCATGTGTCTAGTGGGTGATGAAGGGTATTTTAGTTAAAATGTTATTTTTTTAAATGTATAAAAGTGAAATATGCAATTTGGGCTGTGTTACAGGGGAGCAAAAGGTGGCTTGAAATGCAAATCCTTTTCTTTTTACTTTATTGAAGGGAGTTCCCAAGAAAATAAAAATTCCATCTCTTGAATTTTCAGAATGGTGGGGGGGGGGGGCGGTGAAATGGGGATTGGGTTAAAATGAAAGCTTCCCTGTAAACATCCCTCCAGCTTTTGAACTTGGGTAAGCTGTAATAATAGTGCTGTAGCACAGAGAGCGCCCCAGTGGTTTGTAGCACTTGTCTGTTTGAGAGCTGAGTAGGCATGTGGGCATTAGAAACACCATAGAAAAAGGGGGTGAGGGCAGGGAATATGACTCCAGTGCATTTCCATGGGGTACCACCCAATTTACATTAGTGCCAGAAGAATTAGCCCCTGTGAGCCTAAGATGATGTACTGGGGCTCTGTTGCTTCTGCAGCATAAGCAATTCAGTGCCTCAGAAGCCTTATTATTCTTTATTGTATTAGCACCAAGGAGCCTTAGTCAGGCATGGCTGCCACCTGTCTCACATGCTAGCCTGCTAGTGCTGCCGATTGAGAGAGAGAAGAGAGCACGTTCCTGTCCCATCGTGGAGTAAGTAGTGCTTGGATTGCAGTGACTGATGGGGAGGATGATCCCCCAGTAATTGAGGGATGGAAGAGTTATTGCTCAGACTAGGTGATCTCATCAGACAGTTAAAAATAGAATGTGGAGTAAAGCAGGGAGGTTACAAAAGTGAAGGGCTCTGTCACTTGGCCTAAAGAAGATCTCCTTTAGCCAACAGTAGTAATAAGTCCCATATCTGCTCTTTGGACCAACCACAAGGGGGGCAACATTGCTCAGACACAAAACAAGTGACTCATGCTAAATCTGCAGTCAGCACAAGCCTAAACCTGGGACTGTAGCACTGTATTGACTCAGCAACTCATGGGCCAGCCTCGCAATCTCCTCACTCTGTCCTTGGAAGAAGAAAATAATCACCAGACCAGATCAAGGCCCCAGCTTGAACAGTGGCACCGAAGCAGGAGCTAACTCATGTCCTGATTTTAACGCCCTTCTACTCCAGTAGCTGGACTATTTATAGCAATTTACCCTCAGGTTCAACCTAATACCCTCTCACTTAATGGGGAAAAATGGATGAAAACAGTGAGCCCAGTTGTGCTCCCTTTGAAGTCAATAGGAGTTTTGCTTTTGACTTTGAGCATCATGTCTGGGGGATGCTTGATTGGGAATGGTGGAGTGGGAGCAAAGAGACATTCCCATTATGTACATGCTGAGATCTCAGTTTCCCCCTCCTGAACGTTTCCCCCACGCTGCCCTCGGGGATACCAGTGGCTGAACTGGGGCCAGCCTTGGATTGTAATAGGGAGCCAAAGGTAAATGAAGTTCTCGGCTAACATCAAGATAGTGGCCTTTACATGCAACTCTAGGTCAGAATCCTAGAGGCAAGTGCTTTAATCCTAACACTGGCATTGGATCTGTGGCTGGGATCCTTGCAATACAGGATTCTGCTGCCTTTTAGAATATGTGATGGCCTCAACTATTCAACCTGCTAGAAATGAGAGCATTTAATATCTGATGAGAACTCTGTGATGGGGCTATGCTCTGCCATATAGGAGTGTGGACTCAATGCTCCCCTAAGTCTTCTCCATCTCTTTACGTGATCCTAAAACCTGATGCTAGAGGCACTTGAGTTTTACATTTTTGGGGCTGGGGTGAAATTTTCCCCTTTGGTCACACGGTGGCACTGGCTGCACATGTGTGAATTAGGACAAGCCTGTAGACAGGAGGCAAATTTCAGTGCAGGAATT